GGGGGGGGAGGGGGAATGGGGAGGGGCTTCTAATGGCTGTGGGGCTTCTTTATGGACGGATGGAAATGTTCTCAAGTTTACCGTGGCGGTGGCTGCCAACCCTGTGAATAAACTAAGAATGCTGAATTTCACGCCTTAAACGGGTGAGCTGTTTGGTATGTGAGCTGTATCTCGATAAAGCTGTTTCTTAAAAACCTGTAGTTTTTGTTGTCTATACAGACCCACTTAAAACAGCCCATTTAGTGTAACTGAGGGTGCCTTTTTAAGTGAACTCCTTTGGTTTGTGGAAAGGTACATGTCTCACCATCCTGTCTCGGACGCACCCACTCGGTCAGAAGGGGAGGTGTTGGTGTCCCACAATTCCACCTCTCCTCAGGGGGCCCAGGGCCAAGAGAGAGGATGGCCGGTGGCCTTCCCGGCAGTGTGGGGCCCCCCTTGGCTCCCCGGGCCGCCCCAGGGAGCAGCTGGTGTCCGGGGCTAGCACAGGCCCCTGAGTGCCCACAGAGAAGCCAAACCCAGCCCTGCTTCTCCCAGCCCCGGGAATATGGCGGGAGCGAGCATGTCTCAGTTTCATGGGGAGAGTCGCTGAAGTTGCCGCCGTCACCCACTCTACCAGTGGCCGTTTCAGAGTTGGCCTTTCCTCCTCCCCCAAGCCTTCTCGACCTGCGTCCTCTCAGCCAATGACCTTGACTCACCTCTGTCGACCGGCACTCCCTGGCGGTCCACTTCAGCCTGTCAGTCCCCCTGTTGCGGTGGGCGATGCGTCCAGTCTGAGGACCCCTCGGTCCCACACCCTCTGGACCCCTCACTGGAGGGTTGTCACCTGAGGGTTACTCCTAACAGCACGGAGCGTGCTGTGGTGCGGAGCACCTCCTTTACGTCTAACGTCCCCCGACCCCCGTCCTCTACCTCCCCTTCATTTCTCTGTCCCCTTCACAGACGGTCTCCACTGGACGTCTGTCCTCACTGCCCCCACGCCGCCCCCCGTCCCGCTGCATCAGTTCCCTGTCCTCACGTACTTGACCTCTTTTTAGAACTGCCGCTTCTGGCCACTCTGGTTCTCACCACACTCTTCTCTGTTTCTGTCCCATCGCGGTCTCTTTACCACTCCTCCACGGCCACTTTTACTTTCGTCCTTTTCCAGCCTGACCTTTAAATGCTGGCGAGCCCTGGCCTTGGTCCCTAAGGCCCCCTCAGGCTTCAAGACTTATATTCTCACTGCTGATCTGGACGGGCTGGGAGGTGGGCGAGGTTTCTTGGTGTCCAGGGTGATCTTGGTAATCTTACGTTTCAATATTCAAATGGGGAAAGGCTTAGAGGCCATGGGCACAGATAAGATAGGACATTAACACTTTACGTGGCTGCCAGCAGAGGAGCGGCCTGATTAACCCTGTGTTTGGGAGATGGCCGGCCAGGAGGGTAGATGGTGAGGGACGTGGCCACGGTCAGGCCTGGAGAGCCAAGGGGGTCCAGCGAGGGCAGTGCCGGTGGCAGATCAGCAAACACCCAGAACCCAGCGCTCAACGTGGGCGACCTCGCGGATGGCGGCGCCCCTGCTCCCGGGCTGCAGACCGGCTCTGAGGGGCGCGCTTCCCCCTCAGACCCGTTGCTCACACACCCAGTAACCACGTGCCGGGTTTGCGCAGGACAGCGCTCTCCTGCCCTTGTGTTCTCTTCTCCCTCTCAGGCTGGAGGCTTGTTCACTGGGCGACACAGAGGAAGGAGGCCAGACAACCAGCTTGTCTTTGGAAATCGACTGTGCCCCTGCCCAGAGTCCCAGACAGAGCGACCCAGGCTCTGACGATGGGAGAGCGAGAGAACCATCTTCCTTTGGTGGTTAAATTAGATGCAAAAGACATGGTAAATTATCAGCTATAGATTCATCTTCCCTCTCTCCTAGGAGCTGCTTTCTGAGAAGCATTTAATTGTCTTGGCGCCAAGCAAACCGTAAGAAACCACAGGTGGGAGGATCATTGTGCTGATTCTGCAGACGCTCCCGGTGACACACCCAGGGGCTGGCGGGGTGGCCGTGGTTCCGGCCCAGCTTTACTAGCTCTCAGCTCCCAGGATGAATTCTGTTAGGAGCCGTCTTAACAGAACCTCTTTCTCTTTCCCAAGGGGAGCAACGTGCTTCGTGTATGACTTCATTCATCCTCAATTGCTGAAGATCCTCACGGCTGTTTGTGTGTGTGAGACCAGGGCGAGGCTGTGTCAGGAGGGCTCAGGTCCAGAACAAGCCACTGCAGCTGAGTTTCAGCAGGAGAGTTATTGTAGGATACTCAGCAGTTTACAGCACTACTTGTGTAAGGGCTGAAGAAACAGACGCAGGTTCAGGAGTGATTCCCGAAGCTACACCTCAGAACCTGGCCGCCACGGAAGCTGCCGCCTCTCCTCGGGTCTGGAAGCCTCCAGCCCTGAAAGCCTCCATCGGGCCCGGAAGCCACACCTGCTCTCCCGGCTCCAACCCAAGTCGCATCGTGGGGACTGGCAGCTGCATGCGGGCGCCCGCCTCCCCACCTCCTCCCAGCTGCCGGCTTGTCCTGGGCTCCCCGTGGAGTGGGGAGACCATGGCTGCCTGGCACAGAGGGGCGTCCACCTCACCTAGGCCCCAGCGCCTGCAAATCAGACCCAGATCCCTAACGGCAATGGGGCTGGAGAAGGAGACTCTTTTTTTTTTTAATAAATTTATTTATGTATTTATTTTTGGCTGCGTTGGGTCCTCGTTGCTGCGCGCAGGCTTTCTCTAGTTGCAGCGAGCGGGGGCTACTCTTCGTTGAGGTGCGCAGGCTTCTCATTGCGGTGGCTTCTCTCGTTGTGGAGCACGGGCTCTAGGCGCGTGGGCTTCAGTACTTGTGGCACGTGGGCTCAGTAGTTGTGGCGCACAGGCTTAGTTGCTCTGTGGCATGTGGGATCTTCCTGGACCAGGGCTCGAACCCGTGTGCCCTGCATTGGCAGGTGGATTCTTAACCACTGCGCCACCAGGGAAGTCCCAAGAAGGAGACTCGTGTGTTTGTTTTGTGTGAAGATGGGGAACGAATGCCAGGAACCAGGCCCCATCCCCACACAGAGGCCCTGTGGTCAGGAGAGGACCCGTCCCACACTTGGGAAGGAAGGGACCCTGACTCACCACACGCCGCCTTGGCTTTGGTCTGGGCAGGTGGGCCTCCCTGCGTCTCACGCAGCTCGGCGCCCGTCCCGCACCCAGCCTGGACCCTCCCAGCCTTCACAAGAGGCCACATCTTCAGCCCCTCTGTCCTCCTGAGGTCCCTCCCGCGTGCCGTGCCCCACAGGCTCCTCCAAACCACTGGGCATGTGCATCGCCTGAGCCTGTGAGGACACCAGTCACCCTCCTGCTGTTTCCTGTGTGATGGTCTCGAGTCTCTGACTGGATCACAAAGTCCTGGAGGAGGAATGGGGACCCAGCCTGTGGTCGTCTTGTCTCCCTGACATTTCACAGCTCAGGGCTGAAACAGAAAAGCCCCTCGACCCCCACCCTCAGGAGAGCCTGTTTCCTACACCGTGGACGGGTGGTCACGGCAGCCCCTCTCCGTGTGTGTGGTGGGTCAGGACCGAGAGATGAGCTGCAGGAAGAGGCACCGAGGTCTCCACCACCCGCTGTCGAGTGGAACCTCCCTCCTCCCAAATCCCACTGCAGGCGAGCCCGAGACCTTGGCCCACGAGGCTCGGCCTTGGGTCTTCCTCTCGGGCTCCCTGCCCCGTGGACACGGGAAGCGAACAGAGCAGGAGACAGGAGACGCGGCACGAGGTGCGGGCCCCACCGTAGGAATTAGTTACAGCTGGTGCGAACCCAGCCTCTCCTTCCCGCCTTCTCCAAAACACACAGGCAGGGGAGAGGCCTCCCTCAAGACTCTGGAGCCCAGCTCTCCCTTCTCCGCCCCAGGGAGGTCCCACGGCCGCCACAGGGGCCCATCCCAGCTCAGCCGATGCAGGAGGAGGGCCGGGGGTGGGTTCAGACGGGAGAGAAGGGAAAGCATCAGGGGAATTCCTCCTCTCCCCAGATTGCTCTCCGCACCCCCGGGACGAGGAGGAGAACGCAAGCTGACTTTTGATAGACCGGCACATCTGTCTCAAACCTAAGCCCCAATTCATTCAAAGTCCTTTAAGTCTGCTCTGCATTCTCAGCATGAAGCATTTCTCCCAGAAAAGGTGACACGGTGTTGCTTTTAAAAAGTACAACTGAAATATGCAGGGTAAAAGTCACAGGCTCACTGAGAGTGTGTCCGACAGGACGCCTGCATCGCGTCTTCAGAGTAAGTCACAGGCTCACTGAGAGTGTGTCCGACAAGACGCCTGCATCTCGTCTGGGTTCTGAGCACGGACCCCGAGCCTCTTCCCACCCACGACTCATACCTATTAGCTCGTGAATCTGAGCTCGAACAGCCAGCTTTCCTTAAGTCTGTCCTCATACTTGCTCATTCCTGCCTTTTCTTTGCAAATTCTTATTTGTAGTAAATATCACCACTGTTTTCCAGGTCCCACGTGTGGTTAATGCAGCGAAAGGTAAGGAAAGGCCATGTTAGCAGCTCTGCAGTAAAACTCAAAGGGCAGGCGGTGACCCCGACGGCCATACCAAGAAGCACCTTCGCTCAGGAGATGGCTGTGTTTAGAGAAATGGTCGGGAGGCTTACGTCCACTCAGCTCTGGGGTCTGGGGTGTACGCAGGGTCCCCAAGGATACACAGGGTCTGGTGGTTTTAAAAATGTCCTGTAACCAAAATGTAGGCCTGTGGCTGTGACGGAGCTTCAGGACACGGGGCCCAGCACAGACGGCCGTTCCTCGCGGGCTCGGGAGCCTGGGCTGAAGGAAAAGGGGGCAGCTTTCTGTCGGGGGCATTTTCAATTTCCACCTCGTCATTCTCCCCCCTGCCCCACCCCCGGGATGAAGCCTCGGCCCCACAGATGGTTTTCACACTGTAGTGCTGGTGATTGAAAGCAGTTGCAGGTGAGACACAAGCTTCCAGCAGGAATTTGATATAAATCTTCAGTTGCCTTCAAGCGAGAAAGGGGCTGCTTCCCTGGCCTGCACGGAACAGACAGATGACCCGGAACCTGTGTTGCCCTGATGCCTTCTTTTCTTTTCTTATCTCTTCAGTGTGTTCAAACTGTTGTTCCTAATGACAAGACGTGATGGAGAAAAGGCCAAGATTGCCTGAATTGTATGTCTTTTGTAAAAAAAACAATACTTCCTAAAAGTGCTGAAGTTGCCACAGTTGACAAGCATGGAGAAAGGAAATCCACGTACAAACTTGTAAGAAAGAGGGGGGGGGGAACTCTCCCAGGAACCAGTAAGAAAACAATGAGATTAGCCACAGGCTGGGAGAAAATATTTGCCGGACACGGTGTTTCCCAAAAGAACTTCCATTCAAAATAGAGAAGGGACTCCTGCAAACCCATGGTAACAGACAACCCACTAAAACCAGAGAGAAGGACTTGAACAGCATTTCACAGGAGATGCACCGAAGAGCCCAGCACAGAGCCTCCACGCCATCGTAGGAGAAATTCAGATGAAACCCTGGTGAAGGTAGCTTCACACCCACGGGAACGCTCAGATGGAAAGACCACGTGTATCAAGTGCTGGCGAGGTTGAGGCGGTGCCGACTCTCGTCGTCGTCGCTGGTGGGAACGTAAGCCGTCCGACCACACCGGCTGCTGCTGCTTATGTTAAACAGACTCACAATATGGCTCATCTATTCTACTTCTAGAAACCGAAAAAAAAAACCTTATTCTCACAAAAAGACTTATACACAAACATTCATGGAAGGGGCTTCCCTGGCGGCGCAGTGGTTGAGAGTCCGCCTGCCAATGCAGGGGACACGGGTTCGTGCCCTGGTCCGGGAAGATCCCACATGCCACGGAGCAGCTGGGCCCGTGAGCCATGGCCGCTGAGCCTGCGCGTCCGGAGCCTGTGCTCCGCAATGGGAGAGGCCACAACAGTGAGAGGCCCGCGTACCGCAAAAAAAAAAACAAACAAACAAACAAAAAAACATTCATGGGAGCTTTATTCATAAAAGCCAAACCATGCGGGAACAAGAAGTCTTTGTTGCTGGTGATGGACAACCGGATAAACGGCCAGAGGACAGAAACCTAGGCTGCTGCACACCAGAAAGAGAATGAACTCCGGACACACACGACAGAGTGATGACAAGAGCTGGGAGAAGAGAAGCCGGACACAGAGCCCCGCCGTCCGCCTGCGCGTCCCTGGAGTCCAGAGCCCAGGAACCAACCCAGTGGCAGGATCCACAACAGTAGTCGCCCGGGGCAGCGGGTAGGGGAGGGCTAGGGGCACAGGGATACCCACGTTTCAGGAGGACGTCCCATGTCTCGACCAGGGTGGCGGTTCCCAGGTGCACACATTCGTCAGGACTCACACTGCAGACTTCAATGTGTGCATTTTACTGTATGTAAACTACACGTCCGTGAACCTCATGGAAACAATAGCGGCGTCTTCAGGACTGGTCGTCTGGGGAAGGCGCCCCCTCCTGCACGTCTGTGGGCGTGACAGAAATTGGTTCTGAGTTTAGTAACCTTCATAAAAATATTGAGCAGGACCCTTTTTTACCTGGCTGTAGTATAGATTCACACTGGGAGTCAGGACGCTTTTTACCTGGCTGTAGTATAGATTCACACTGGCTATAGTATAGATTCATACGGGAGTCAGGGAGTTGTTTGGATTTTTCAGCAGGTCCCAGATTTAACCTCAGAAGCGCTTTTCAGCTTGACTTTAAATGTTCCATGTAGCGCTGCTCTGCCTTGGAGGAACTGCCAATTCTGTGTTAGAGTTCTCCAGAAAAGGCCACTTTAAAAAGGGAAAAAGGAAGGAACATTCCGGACATTGCATCGCAGAGTTGTGTGTGTTGAAAACTTGCCTCGATTTACATTGTATTTTCTACTAGAAACAGTGTTTTGAAACTATCTACAAATGCCATGTTATCCATCTGTCATAAATATGTTTTTTGTTTTTTTTTTGCGGTACGGGGGCCTCTACCGTTGCGGAGCACAGGCTCCGGACGCGCAGGCTCAGCGGCCATGGCTCACGGGCCCAGCCGCTCCGCGGCATGTGGGATCTTCCCGGAACGGGGCACGAACCCGTGTCCCCTGCATCGGCAGGCAGACTCTCAACCACTGCGCCACCAGGGAAGCCCATAAATATGTTTTAAAAAAGAAAGAACTCAGAGCACGAGCCAGTTCTCCCAATCACGCCCTGGGCACATCAGCCCTGCGCACACCTGTCGTCTCTTCCCCTTCTTTTCCTGCTTTTCACCACTGAACAAGGAGGTAGTCAGTCCAGAAAGGGTGGAACATGTTTTTTTAAAACCTCATCTTATTACTTTATCAACCCTCACAAATCAGTCCAAGGATAAATTTGGCAAAGGATTATGAAAAGGTAACAATGGCAAGGAAACTCAGGTGGCTTAGGGGACGCCTGTCATGGCTGACTCAGCCGCAGCCAGATACACCTGCTTGATCCAGGACAGGAGTGCTCACGCCGTGGACACGGACACCCTCCACGCTCTTCTCGCCGCCACTGTCCCACCAGGAAGCCCACGCACGTTCCAGTGGGCAGATGTGAAGCTCAGTACATTTAAGGTCATTACCAGAAAGATGTACTAGAAGTCAAATTTCCCAGTCCAGATGGCTGGGTTAAAATAAAAACAATCCTATTCTTTATTTCCCAGTGAA